GATTTGTTATTTGCCAAATTAATGTAATAACTCTTTCGTTTTAAAATGTTTAAAATCTTGTGTTGTTCAATTTTATGGAGTATTGCTTATCATATACAATTAATTGATAAATTATTTTTTAAATTTTTTTGAAAAGAGTAGAATATTATCTTCGATTTTTCTTCACCTCATATTCAATTTTTTATTTTTATTTTTTGTAAGAGAAAGTGTCTTGGACTTTAACTTCATTAAAATGAGAGAATTTCGAAACCATCAGCCTGTTCGATAATTTTTTTATAATTCTTTAAAGTCCCTAGTTTCAATCTTTTTTCTTAACAAACATATGAATTTTAATTAATAACGTTCACAATATTCAATTAGTTATTGATATTTGATATATTATTATTTCCAGTAATATCCCATTACTTGGCTTCTAAACTACATTCTATAGACTAGAAATAGTTGGACTTTCTGGTTGCCTCACGTGGGCCTTTTAATTTTATAAGTTATTATTTATTGATAAAAGTTAAAAATAATTACTTAAATTTATGAAGTAATAATTAATTATATTGAAGAGTAATGCATGCCCGTGCGTGCTATTTTCCCCTTTTGGCAACTAGTCCACTGCGATTATGTTCCTCACTGCACGATGATTGATTGATTTATTTATTTATATTTCTATGATTTTCTTCTTTTATTTTTCAAAAAATTCCTCTTTCTCTTTTAACAATAAAATATATCTATCGTGAAGGATTGTTTGGCTAATTCGTCAAAAATAGTCGTAAAGAGATTTTTCAAGGTAAAAATTTTCGTCGTCAATGTGATACCGTTAGATCTAAAAGTTAAAATATTAGATAATACCACATGTATGTAATTTAAATCTTTTATTAAAAACATCTCTTGAGTGCAGACGAGATTTATATTTTTCTATTGAAAACATATACATGCACAAATTTTAGTGACGTTCAACCTTGGATAGAAAAAGTAGTCCAAACTCTTATATGTTGGTTATTATTTCAATATCTAATTGATGTATAATTTATCCATCGATACACAGAGCTAGCCCTACGATTTTGGATGCCCTGTGCGAGATTTTAAAATGGTGCCCCTTTTCAAGTAACTAAAACATGTATTAAAAAAAATATTTCAATAATATTATATATATTAAGTGTAAAGCTTAAAATGCAACAAATCATGTAAAAATATTTTTTCTCGTATTTTTAGAAGCATACTCGCTAATGAAACTTTCGTAATCAATATTTTCTAGAAAATCTTGCTTAATAAATATCAAACATAATCTATTCAATCGTTCTTCTAACATGGTTGATCGAAAATAAAATTTTAATAACTTCAATTTTGAAAAGCATCTTTCAGTAGATACAAATAACAGAAATTATCAATAATATTCTATAAGCAATACATGCATTCAGAAAGCAATCCAATCTTTTCAAATAAGTCAATGTATCAAAAGTCATTTTTATTTCTTTTGGTAAAAGATTTTGCAAAACTTTTAACTCTTGAAATAAATCTTCACCATCAAACTCGCAAAAATTTACATGTCTTAAAATAATATCAAGATGATCACAACATGCTTTGAAATTAGCATCATCCAAAGCGAATTCAAATTTTAAAAAGTTTTTGCAAAGCGAATTCAAATCACTGAAATCACTGAACAAGATTGACGAAAAGATAATAAAGAAAAGATAATAGATAATTCAGATTTTCAACAAGGGTTTAATGAAAAATACAAATGGTCAATCGTCACTTAATGAAAAGAGATAATTTTTTGAAGTCAAATCAAAGATGATTGAAGAAAAAGATGATTTTTCCAAAAAGACGATTGGTTTCTCTCTTCTCTGCCTCAATTATCTTTGAGGCAATTGGAAAAGATGATTAGTTTCTTTAATTCTTTTTTCTAAAAAGACGATTGGAAAAGGCGGTTGTTCAATTTTTCTTTTTTCTTGGCCTGATCTTTTTTGGACTTTTGCCTTTTCCTTTACATTATGTAAGGCAGGAATACTATTTAAAAATATTACATTCAAGGAAATTATAATTAGTTAGTCACATTATTCTTAATTTTAATATGTTATGCATAATAATAAAAAATTTATATTTTAAAATTAATATATATTTTAAATAATATACAACTACCAAAAAAAAAAATTTGGTGCCTCTACAATTTTGAGGCCTGTGCGATCGCTCAACTTGTGCACCCTTAGGCTACATCATGCAAAATGGTGACTCGTTCAAATACATCAATCTTGAAGGTCAATTTGCTCATTTAAGCTTAAAACGTTATATGTCCATTTGAATTCTATCCAGATTGAATTGGCGTTGGAAGCTATTGTATTCCGATACCTTATTAAATCACACGATCAAAAAAACTTAGACGGTTAGATAACGTCGCATACCCTGGAGTTATTTCAGTGGGTAACTATAATATGTGTGTATTAAGAAGAAAAAAGGACTAGGCAAGTCCCATGTCAAAATCTCAAACATACTATTTGTATTTGGTCTTCATTTTCTAGTCACAACTTCCCTTTTTATTGCCGAGTCATTTGCTCAATTACGAGCCTTACCAGTTCCTACACCCCTTCTATCGCTCTATCTGTTTCCTCTTCTTATATGGCCAATCCCACTCCACTCCATCACATCCCTTTCTCTTCACCCCACCACCGCTACCACCTCCGCCACCTTGAACCACCCACTTTGTCTCTATCGTCCATGGAGCAATTCCCCGTGAACCTATTGGCCTCTGATGAGAAAAGAAAGGTCTTAAATGAAATGGATTTCTTTGCCGAAAAGAAAGATGATGATGAGTTGAAAATAGGCACCAGCGACGAAGGCGATGCCAAAGGAAAAGAATTGGATTTCAATGTAAATGTAAGATTTTTTAGTAATGTTAGTTTGATATTTATCAGTTAGGTTTGTGAGCTTAAGAACTTTTGTTTTATATATACAGACTGGTTTGCATCTTCTCACTGCCAACACTAGTAGTGATCAGTCCGTAGTAGACGATGGGATTTCTCCGAATTCAGAAGATAAAAGATCGAAAACTGAGGTGAGACTAACTTTATTTGTATTTCTGATGCATGTATTGGATAGGATTGGACAATATAATGACTTGTACTAAATTGACTGGATTTAGATGGTCGTCCTTCGAGCCGAAATGGAAAGGATGAACTCGGAAAATCGTTGTTTAAAGGACACGCTAAATCAAGTGAGGAACAACTATAACACTCTTCAGATGCATCTGTTGACACTGATGCAACAACAAGAAAGAGATCATCAGAGAGCTCATGATGATAATGGTATAACAGAAGAACATGGTCAAAAACTAGTGGATGATAATAATAAGCAACGGAAAAATGATAAGGGATTAGTGTTGCCTAGACAATTTATGGATCTTGGACTAGCAGCCGAGACGGACGAGGCCTCTTTATCGTCATCTGAGGGGAGGAGCTGCCAGAACCGATCACGATCACCTGTTAATAATATCGATGGTATGTTAAAAGAAATTGGGAGAGAGGAGATTTCCGATAAGGGGTCTCAAGGTTGGGGTCCTAACAAGGTTCCTAGACTCAACCACTCTCCGAAAAGCGTTGACGAAGCTGCTGAGGCTACTATGAGGAAGGCCCGAGTCTCGGTTAGGGCCCGATCAGAGGCTCCAATGGTACGCGATTGAATCTAGTATAGATAACAATAAATTAAATCTTGTTCTCAATAAATATGGATTGATAATACCTACGAAAAATTTGGATGTTTTCCAGATCACAGATGGATGCCAATGGCGCAAGTACGGGCAGAAAATGGCAAAGGGAAACCCATGTCCTCGAGCATATTATCGGTGCACCATGGCTGCTGGTTGTCCGGTTCGAAAACAAGTATGTATAAATTTTCATTGTCTTTTGAACAACCTAGATATTATAGCAATTTAATATCAATAAATGATCTATACCAGTTCCATACAAACATCCACATCATTTTTAACATGCGTCATTGCTTAAAAATAGAAGCACTTTTACTAATCTATTCAATTTTACCTCATATTGTCTGAAAAATTAGATCATTAAGGAAGGTTTGTTACCTTGGACTAGACAGAGAGAAGTATGTGAAAAAATTAGAGAGTTATCTTGTCATGTCTATTATAGCCTAACATACCAAACATACACGAAGTGTTGTACCAATTATTTCTTTTCTAGCTTGTTTTATTTGCTGTATTTGACATAAAAGTAGATGAGATTTTGACTTTAACATTGTCCTTCCAGGTGCAAAGATGTGCAGAGGACAGAACCATCCTAATAACAACGTATGAAGGCAATCACAACCACCCATTGCCACCAGCAGCCATGGCAATGGCATCAACTACATCTTCAGCTGCAAGAATGCTACTCTCAGGTTCAATGCCAAGTGCCGATGGGCTAATCAACTCAAATTTCCTCGCCCGTACCCTCTTCCCTTGCTCCTCCAGCATGGCCACCATATCTGCCTCCGCGCCTTTTCCTACTGTTACATTGGATTTGACACAAACACCAAATCTCTCACAATTCCCAAGATCTCAAAATCAATTCCAAATTCCATTTCCTAATGCAGGCCAAAGTTTTCCGAACAATCCAGCTGCACTTCTACCTCAAATCTTCGGCCAGGCATTGTACAACCAGTCCAAGTTTTCAGGTCTCCAAACATCACAAGACATGGAAGGCGGCCACCAGGCCACGCCATCTCTCCCTGCTGCGATGCAACAAGGACAGCAAAACCAACTTGCTGGTACAATGAATGCACTTGCAGCAGATCCAAATTTCACTGCTGCATTGGCAGCTGCCATCACATCTCTTATCGGGAATTCACATCCAAACAACGCCAATAACACACACACCAACGTCGTGGCTACCACTACCAGCAACAACGGTGGTAGCGTTTCGACTAGCAACAATAATAGCAATGGAAACAATAAAGTCAGCAGCTCGAGCTTTCCAGTGAATTGAATATCAATAAGCACTATATTCCACCTTTTTTCTTGAATTATTTTTGGATATTTTAAATTATTATTCTCATTTTACTCCAGTAGACTATTACAACATGAAATTATACATGGAGTGAGTAATGTTTTGGGTTTTTAATAATGTAATTCAAATTGTCAATCAATGTATAAAAATGTTGGGAAAAAAAAATAGTGTTGCATCTTGTACTGAGCCTGAAATTTGTGAATGAATGTGTATGTATTTTGTGTCATTGTTGAATTGTGGATTCTTGCGTGAGTCAAGCAAAAAGTCTAATGAGAAAGGGACAGCGATAGAAAGAAATTAAAGAAGTGTTGAAATATTCTTGGAGCGTTCACTTGTATTTTTCCTAAGTGCAATTTGTATGGCATCCAAGAGAGAGGTCAATAAAAACGTCTCAAAGTTGTTAGAATTAAGTGGCTTGTTTGGCACGGAATGACGAAGAGAGGGAAAGAGAGGGAGAGAGTTGATTTTATTTTATTTTATTTTTTAAACTTGGTTTAAAGTCTTTGACCCCACAGATTTCAGGTTCATGGTGACGGATGACCTAGCTCTCTTTAAAATTAAATGGAAACCAGTCTAATCTGATTTGAATCGGTTTACTAGTTGGTATACCATTATCTAGTTCGACATCTCATGAGGGCGGACAAAGCTCTTGGTAAAATAAAATTAGGAAAAAGATGGAGCTACAGGGCTCTGTACATGGAGCTCGATCCATTAAATTAATAGAGTTGTTGAGATCTCGACTAAAGCAATCAAGTTTTATTTCGAGATTTTAGTATGAATTAGATTTTTCACTGTAACAACTTATTTCTCTTCTACATTTTTTACTTAGCCTTCCATATTTGACACGATATATATTCATTTTTCCCCAAAAAGGGGAAAAAAGAACCAAGAAAAGAAAAAGGACAGTCGCCCACAATATTGGTCGGAAAATGCCGAGCTGCCAAAAGTATTTTGCTCACTGTTTTGATAGATACTCACATGTTAATGGAACCCGCGCCGACCCCACATGAATAAAAAATGTAAAAAATTCCACCCCACCCATCCCGACTGTGAGGATCTGTCAGCTGGGGTGCCAGAGGAGCATTGACACCCCAGCATGGTCCATATTGGTCAGTTAGTAGCTATGGCCAGTTTGGTTCTTGGATTTGGAAGATGTGTTGAACCTAGACCCAAGTATAATTTTAAATGGACCTGTTGAAGCCAGTTGTTTACAGGTCAGAATGAATTGACACATTCATTTTGACACCCCCTAACTCTCAACGTAATGTGGAAGCAAACTCGTTATCCATAGGAATAATTTCATTTAGGTTTACATAAAACAAAAATTTAATACATCAAGTCTATCGAAGTCAGAAGGTTTCAAAGACACAATTGGGTCAAAGATGACGGGAGAAATGAGAATTACTATTAGGCCTGTTTGATTTGTTTGAATTCCATTTTGCATAAAATTCGAATTTCACATTTTTTCAATTTTGTGTGTTTGATACGTTTAATTTTCATGGAATTCCATTTTCTTGCTTGTCTTGGGAAAAGGTATTTTCTTGGTTTTTAAGGAAAACCAATTCCCACCAATATGGTGAGAATTGGTTTTCGAACCTATTGTTCACAACCTTTTTTTTTTTTTTTTTTTTTTGGAATGGAAAAAAATTTTAAANCCTTTTTTTTTTTTTTTTTTGTTAGGAATGGAAATAAATTTTAAGAATTATTTTTAAAAAAATATTTCACTTTAATTGGCAATTTTCATGTAAAACAAAGTCAAACGAATATCAAAAGATAGATTATTTTCTTATTTTTTTTTTTTTGACAATGAAAACAAAATTCATTATCAATCCGAGTAAAATTTATCCCTTTAATAAACAATTTTCATATAAAACAAAACTAAATGAATATCAAAATACACTTTTATTTTAACATTTTTTATGAGAAAAATTATACAAATCAAACATAATAATCTGCAATTTTCAAGAAAACAATTTCTAGGCAATTCAATTCTCTAGAATTCGTTTTCAATTCAATTGAATTCCATTTTTGCAATCAAACGGACCCTTAAATTTAATTGAAACTACACATAAAGTAATAGTAAGATTGAAATATCTACGAACTTGTTCCTTTTGTTATTAGTTCTTCAACTTTTGATAGTTAAGTCGATTGTATGGCACATTTATTTCACCCAGGGTTTTGAGTGACTTTTCTTGATGGAAGTTTAGATTACTTTGTATATTGTCTCAAATTTCATAATTATCAATAGCACGCCTGTTCTCTTCTATTAGATTTCACTTCCCTTTTTAAGCCCTAAAATTAGTGTGTGCGATCATGTGCATGTCAAGTGATTGACGAAATTTTGCCGATTTCTATTTTTAGAACTTTAGAGACTTCGACGGGAAATTTTTCTAATGAATTTGATGCTTTCTAGACTTTCAAATTTTGAAAAGAGTGAGTGGGATGATTATTCAATATTTTGAAAAGTTGAAGTTGTCATAATATTATAAATATTGTTTTAATTTGGAAATTTTATATGCTTCTTTTGGCAATTTATATTTTTGCCGTGCATGTATAAATGATAACTTCGTATATTCATTTTTCATTTCTTTAGTTAGCTCTTTTTTTTTTTTTTTTTTTTTTTTTTTTAACGAGATGTCCCAACTTACGCCAGACTATATCCTCGTCCCTAAACTTCCGGCCCCTCAGCAGCTCAGGGAGGTAAATCGCGGGATGTGCCCAAATTGACCAGGATTCGAACAGCATTTATACTCCTGACTCCAAGGGAGCCTCCTCCATGGTTATTACATCACCAAGCTGCTCCAACCCTTCCTCTGATTATTACAACATTCAGCTGCTCCAACCAGGAATCGAACTCCCCACGATGGGGTTGCGAGCCCCGCACTATCCTTCCTTTGCCAACTTGGATGTGCCCGGGGGGCTTAGTTAGCTCTTTTATTAGGCGTAAAGTGTACTATGTTGCTCATGCTCTTGCAAAAAAAAAAAAAAAAAAAAATACTTTTGTATGTTTACATGTTTTTAATTTATTATTACCATTATTTTTTAATTCAAACCACTATAAGGATGAAGTATTTATTCATACTAAAATTTTAGAGAAAATGCTCTTCATAGTTAAATGAATGCAAAATCAATAAAATTGAAATTAAAAAAATAAATAAATTGATGAATTGCACTTCAAACGAGGACAAAAGGACGTTAATACTCTCCAATAATCTTACTTACATACCCTAATACTCTCCTTTCCTTCTCTCTATTTCCTCAAATTCATCTCATATCTTAGCCTTCATGTATTATTTTCCCCTTTTTCTTGGTTTACTTTCATATAGCTTAAGAAGTCTAATGTATGTGACAATTAATTTAAGCACGCTGTTTATTCTTTAAGATACCTTTTCTCGTTACTTAGTTGATGTTAAACCGTTGTCAACTTCTTTTCTGGTTTAGTTTTCATGGGTTTTTATTTTACCAGGTAAATGCATGGATGTAAGGGAAAGGATAACATTACCTTACTTGACTATTGAAGGTACCAGGTCTGGTAGTGCTAATGCTCCTGCCTCCAGGTTTGGATGTGCTTCACACTCCTCCCGATTTTTGCAGGGTGAGTGGTGGCTATGTGACTCTGTCTCCTGTTACTGGTTCAGGGAAGAAAATGAGGAGTAGAGTCGGTAGACATAGGAAATATGGTGCTAAAATGTCTCTGCCATTGTCCAATTTTTTGCCAGGGAAAAGGCACGCAGTGGGCGATCTGTTGACGGAAGCAGCAACTTGCCCCTCTTGGTAAGTTTTCTAGAACAAGTTTCTACTTGTTCTATATAATGTGTTGTATTTTTTCTGCAAGATGCGTTTGATAAGTAATCAATAGTTTAATGTTTTATGCTAAAGGAGTAAATAGGCTGCGAACCTCTTCTTCCCGATAATTTGAACCAGAACACCAGTTACAAAAATTAAAGGTTGATATTCATATGAGTTGGAGATCCTAACTATATATTTTTCCTTTATCAAATATCGTAAATTTTCTGTTTGATATGAAATTAAGGGAACATTTGCACCTTTGGTCAACGATAATTTTCCAACCTTATCTTTGGGAATTGTTTATAAAAGGTATAAATTATAAAGGGTACCGTTATTTCCATCCACATTTTTTATAAGTACATCCCACTCTAAATTCATCCCTAATAAAACTTTTAAATTTTAAAAAAATATTATTTGCATCCACGTCATTTCCATTGTTTGCCGCTTTCATCGTCCATCTTTGGTACCCATCGGCAGCTTTCCTCCTATTTTTCATCTTCTCTTTCGTTTCCTCCAAATTGAGTTGTTTATATTGTGCCACTTTGTTAAAATTGTACCAAGAACCAGCAGGAATGGCTACAAATTCCTTTCCCTGAAGCATTAGAAGGTAATATGTAGCTGATTGTGAACCCTCAAGCTGACCGTGGTATTGAGACTGGCCAGTTTCATCCTCCAGCAGCCAAGGTCTATTCTTGTACTTATCCCTCAAAGCATCAGTAATTTGGCGGCCTTGCGAGAAATAAAATTGTTTGCTCAAGTGATGAAACAATTAATTGTCAGCCACATAATTTTCAGAGCATTTTAGACAAAGAAAGAGAAAACATAATGGAGATGACATCATTCACTCCAATAAGATGAAAGCACCTGTACTCCAATTAATGAAGGAAAACTCAACCAGAAAAGGAAAGAAGAAAAAGAAATTGAGATCTCATCGAGAAGACAAATTGGCACAACCAGTAGGCAATTATTACATTTTCTTCATTGCATCTCTTAGCTGTAAGAGATAAACATGAAAATAGCAGAAGATATAAACATTTTTTAACCCTCCTATTCTCCTTATATAAGGTCAAAAGAATCACAAGTGAAGAGAAGACGGCACAGAGAAGCCAGAATGAAACAATTTTATGTGGTTGCCTGTGTATGTATATGTATTGGCTCCCCCTCCTTTCTGTGTTTGCAGCGGCTAATGTATATATATCTATATTGTCTATTTAAGTAAATTTATATAGTATTTAAAATATAATAAACTTTTATTTTTAGAAGTGGATGTACTTATAAAAAGTGTGGATGGAAATAGCGGTACCCATTATAAATAATAGAAATGAATTGTTGATAAGTGGACAATACTTATAGATTATAAAGTGTTTATAAATGATCCTTTGTGGCAACAACAGATGACAAATGTTCCTCCATCTATCCATATTACAGGGGAGAAATCAAGTTCCGCTTATAGATTGAACGCCATTATCGAAAAGAATGGGGATATTAAGCAAGATTGTTATTTGGAGTCTGATGTATGAAGGCCCTTGTTGTGATTGGCATCTCATGTGAAGTGGTCAATATCTAAAAAAGAAACAGTTGAAGACCTTGATTGACATACGCTTGAGTCTTGTTATTCAGCTGTCTGAAATACATAAAGAATGAAGATGAATGAGAAATGGCTACATAGTCTACTTGATGAAATTAAAGATGATGTTGAATCACCTGGTGGAGCAAAAAAACTCATGAATGAAAAGGAAAGGGTGATAGAGAACATTGATAATAAGAGGAAAGCTATACTACTATGCCATGATGAGATAAAAGGACTTAATTCAGAAATTAAAGAAATAGAAGGTCAAGTGGCTTGAGAGACTATGACATTATACGGGTTAGATATAAATATCGGAACTCTTAATATCCAAGTATCCGCATTTGCAGCAGATGCCTTTGATGAATGGGCTTATATAGATTTACTCAAGCATATGTTTTTCAGGAAAAGCTATTTGTACAGCCTTTAAGGCTATACAATGTTAAAGCCCCCTCACATTAGGGGGGCCCGTGCTGTACACAAGAGTGTACAGCAAGCACAGCCCATGTTTCTCACCTTCAACCCACTCTCCCGTTTACACACAAATAAATGCTTTAAGTGCACACAAACTCCAATGCATGCACAATTCTATGCTCTTGAGCATGTATACTTGCAATGCTATCTCTATTTGGATTTTTTAGGGACTATTGTCTTATCAGATTAAAATCTACTTTTACTTTTTCATGGAATATCAGAGGTTTGATAATCATATTGATCGATAAAGATCATGGTAGGACAAGTTAGAAAATGACCGTATTTGGATAATGGGAGGGGAAAATTAATGTAGCAAGTAGATCCTCAACCTTCAATTATAGCAGGTGGTCTCAACCTTTAAATTTTGTAGTCCATGGTTCCCAAGTGACAAATTCCATCCGACATTAAAATATAAAACACTTCATGATCTGGTTCTGTATAATACTTATCAAATAGACGGAGTGGCTTGATATGCTATTCACCACAATCAGACAATCAGCCGAGACTTAAAATTGCTTATTTTTTTGTGGATCTTTGGCAAGTATGCTTCCCTTTTAGGCAACTGTTGGTTGACCTCCTATTTCTAACCAATATCTCAGTTCTAACTAATGATGTATACAGTAAAGGGCATGTGGTTTTGATGAAGAATTTTCTAATTAGAGATAAGGCGAAAACACTAACAGTCGACACATATGTACACTTTCCATAAGTTAAACATTAACTCCTTTAGTAAGATGAGATGTGGGTGGATGGATGGAGTGACGGATAAAAAATAAAAAGGAAATTTACTGATCGATTGTATCAAGGCTTGGTATTCCATCTTAAAAAAGTTAATCTTATTAAGAAAAGTAGTTCAAACCCTTATATGTTGATCTATATTTAGGTATTTAATCGATGTAAGATTTATTCTTTGATATACTCCCGCAAGATGGTGACTCTTGTTTGACATGTCAATCTTGAAATTCGTATGCTCATTTTTTAGTTTAATCGAATTGAATTGCTCATTGAAACTTAATGTGTTTCAATACCGTATTAAGACTTGGATTTCATCTTAAAATTTAACCTTATTAATAAAAGTAGCTCAAACTCTTATGTGTTGGTCTATATTTCGGTATTTTAAACGATATGAGATTTATCCCTTAACATATTAGAATTAATGTAGGTTGAGTGATCAAATTAAAATGTGTAAAAGTTACCAATTACCATTTCAACCCACGAGGAATCTAAAGAATGAACTAACAAACATTCACTATTACATGGCTTTATATAGCAATTTATATTTAGACCATGTGTTTTGCTATGATCTTGTTTTGGTTTTGCAACCATAATTGTTGTTCTTGAAGCAAATTCTGTTGACTCATGGTACTATTAAACATCTGATCATTGGAAAATGTAGTACTCGAATATGGCGCGAATGGATCATTCTCGATTTGTGCTGCAAATGATACCTCGTTAGGATTTTGAGCTGAAAATGTAGGTGCTGATGAAAATATGTTTGCGATTTGAGCGGCAACTTGCATGTTGGTGGCACCGACCTCTGGTATGGTGGCAGTAGTTGGGATAGCCACCTCAGGCATAGTTGCTGCCACTGGAAATTCGAAAACATCTTGAAGGAAGGGGTTATAGTGGTTTGATGGCAATGTGCTTTGGTTATACAAACTGTCTAAGGAAGTGGCTGATAAGCTGTTATTGTTTTGTAGTGGCTGAATGGCTTGTGGTTCCGTTGTTTCCGTAAATTGTACAAGCTCCCAATGATTTCTTGAATGATCTACTGAAGCATTGTTCTCTTCTGTTTGTGCCAATTCTTGTTCGGGAAAGGCATTGAAGTTGTTGGCAGCATTATTGGAGGGTACGTCTAGCGATGCTGATAATGTCTCGGTTATATCAATCTCCCAATCTATCATGGAAGTAGTAGACTCTGAGGGCTTTGGCTTTTGTTCATGTTCTTGATCTTGCTTGCATTCCTTCTCATCTGGATCTGACCAATCGTTTAATGAAACGAGATCAGTCATTGAATTTGACACGGGTAATGAATGGCTTGAACCCAATTCACTTACTCTGAATGCATCATCCTGTTGTGTTCGCTTCTCAAACTGATCTGAATAAGCCTCTAGATCGATTGAGATTGATGGCCTCCTCCCTATTTCTGTAGCACTAATCAAGTCTTCCAAGGATGTACCTTGGGAACTGTACTCGAAAGTTTGCTCAGAAAATCGATCGTTGGTGGCGGAGTATTCAGACTGTCCACCTGAGGTGTCATGCCGCCTAAGCTTTTGGTCAGCATTTGGTGGTGGTGCAGGGAGAGGCAAAGGCCGGTCAGGGGACTTAGAGTTCGTAGGAAATGAAGAATGGTCTTTCAAAAATTCTTGCAATGTTTCGATCAACTCCTCAGATATTGCCTGGATACTTGGATATTCTGATGTCCTCCCAACGCCCATACTTTTACATAAACTATAGAATCCACTGAGTTCTTCAAATTGACTCGTAGCCTTGATACAAGCTTGAAACGCGCTAACACAATTCTGGTAATGTAGATGAAAGAAACTATCGAGAAGAAGGGCGAGTCCATCAGAAATGTCTTTGTATAAGTCGAAGCTTTCTTGCACTATGGCATAAAGACATATCTTTACCAAACGATTCATCTTGGCCGCACCAGTTGGTCGTGTGGCTATGGCTCGTTCAAGTAATCGCTGCCAATAAGAGATTCTATCAAGTAACATTGCTGGTTTCATGTCACCAACAGGTTCCTTAGGCCTCTTGTTCCGGTGGTAGCTCCAACTTTCCCTATCCCGCTGGGTATATCTACGTTGAAGCTTTCCCGTAAGGAAGCAATCTAAACGCTCATCTAGATAAAGGGCAAAAGTGCGAACAAAGGCCGTGAAATCCCAAGGGCTTGAATTCGAATCATCTCTGAAGGTTGATAGATTAAGAATCTTGGCACCCCTTTTCATTGCATGAAGAACTTCTCGTGGGAAATAAGGATCGCCATCTTGAAAGATTCGAAGAACAAGCATCAAAGACTTTAATGCAACAACCCAATTACGCGTTCTGCCTATGCGTTTACCAATCGCACGAGCACAAGACGCAGCATAAAATTTGTTGGACGAAACCAGCTGCAAGATTTCGTACACATATCTATCATCAATAGGGATATCATCATGGGTTGTGGCTTTTAGCACCGCAACTTCTAGAGAAGAAGAATTGTTACTTGCAACCTTAGCAAGGCTAATGCTTGTTTGATCTTTAACTGCGCCAATTGCCTTCTTTAGCTTACTTGGCATTCTTCCTTCGCCACTGGTATCACCACCAAGAGCAAACAATTTATATATCAAAACTACATAGAATCTAAAGAATTTGCATGTAATAATTTAGAAGTTTTATCTTCTTTTTCGTCTTGGGATTGATTAGGACATAAAGAAAAATTGGCAGGCACTCTCTGGTTTTGTGTGTGTGTGGGGGGGGGAATAGTGGAGAAAATAGTGGGCTTCCTTGAGTCTCTCCTAGCCTCATATAGACTTCTTGTAGTTATAATTTTGTGCCAAAGAACTAGGTCCTTATTCAAAGATGATAAGTGCGGGGATTTCGGCGTAGTGAGAATAAATTTATCAAGAATATTTATTTAAATACTTTTGACGTCTCCACATGGAAAATAACGAAAGAAATTGACATAATTTTAATTTAATTAACAATAAAATAATACAAAATTTACTGGTATATATCATTGTCTTTAAAGGATCTAATAAACTTTTATTTTCCTCTCCTTTTTTGGGTACTGCTTATATAAAAATTATTTGTTTTATTTGTAGCAATTGCTTGGTGAAAAACAACAACAACATATATTGAAGAATTTGTTCTCAATAATACTAAATTTTCTGTGGATTTTTTTTATCTAAGAGGACCCAAAATGTCAGGCCTCCCTCATAATACGAGTAACTTGAAAACCTAAAATACAAAGGGAAGGCTCCAAATTCGATCGCTCTAATTTTATTTTATTTTTCATTTTTCTACTTTTGAACGAGACCCGAAATGGAAATCTAGATACAATTTATACTCAATATCAGCGTCCACATTCACTACAAATTGGAGGGAAGAAGTTTCTTCAAGAATTAGCATATATGCCACTAATACAAATAGTAGTCATGCTTCCAAAGATTTTTATTCACTAGCAGTGATTTCTTTTAGACCTATTGTTCTTACAAGCTCATTATAAGCATTATTTGCTGCTCGGTTTAACGCTATTTCCTTCTTTTCACGGCACTTACCTGTACCCCTAAGTTGGTTATTGATGAAAACTTCGTAAGTTCCTTCTCGCCTCCACAGATCCACTAGTCGAACACTTAGCTTCTTCTTCTGACATATCTCATACAGCTTCTTCACAGGATTTGCTTGTAGCATATCGGGAGTGATTATGGGCTTCAGTAGAACATTAGCTACCTATGCAAATTAAAACACAACATATCAGCTCGAATTAGAGAAAGCTCATTGAGCTATTTATTTATAAGCAACATTAATGTCTACAATCAAATGTGTCAACATTCTGTTAGACACAGACAAAGAGTGATAATGCTCGAGTGAGAGAGAAATGACATCGTTCAATAAATGTGTATTCAGAGGCATAGTAAAGATTATTCTAAACACTCAAGCCTAATTTGTACCCATATTAGGAGGATACAGTGCCCACTTTGGGAGCATCCTTGATTATTATAGGTGATAAAATATTTAGGGAAAAAAATCACCTTCCATGTTGTATCAATTGAGCAATCGCTGTCAATGAACACAGCTCCTAAAGTGGATTCAACAACATCAGCAAGAACCTTTGGAGCATCGATCAAACCATGGGAATGTAAAGGATGTTCAGGAAGAACATCTATAAATGTCTGAATCTGCAAATATTCCAAAAACACTTTAGGTAAATATATGATTGGAGAACAGAAATACCTAACCACCACGTCATAGAAGAAGCCAAAGGTGAACATTGTCCGATAATTATGTGAAGCCAACCTGGAATTGTCCTCAGAAATATCTATCCAAAAATTGTCCTCAGAAATAGCTACCAATGAACTAAAATGTATTCATGACTAATTCTTGAACATATAGTCCAGGCATGCAAGCAGAAAGTGGACGGTGAAAAGGCATGTAGATTCCAGGATACATGAGCTTTAATCAGTTACACAAGGGACAGCTGAAGCTGAGAAAGGAAAGTCTAATTAGATCTCATGGGGAATAAATATTTGCCTCCGCAATTGGTTTATCAGTGTTAGAAACTCATTGTTCTGGTTTTACTTACTGAGTAATTATTTATTTTTGGTGGGAGCAGTTGGATTCACATGTAGACTTAGTATTTCAACCACACATTCTTCATTAAAATAATATTTCACGAAAATAAAATAAAATAAAATAAAATCCTTCTTTTTTAACCACACATTTCAACATCAATCAATATTTCATAATACATTATTCAAAAATAATGGGGCACAAACACCCCCTATATCTCAATTGAAATATAATCATGTCTGTTAGTTAACTATTATCTATGTTTTCAAAACAAAACTGGTCATTGATCCAGAAAAAAATAGAAGGTCAAAGGTCAAAAGATTTTATCAGGTCAAACCGATTATCAAAAATAAATAATAAATATACAACAAATTGGACAAAAATATGTTGAATAGAACATTGAACGTGGCAGAATTTAATTTTTGTCGTGTTCAATTCTTGTTGAATAGAACATTAGACAACAAGAACTCATTGAAAGTAAATTTAGCACCTGTTTGACAACCATTATTTGAAAACCTTTTTCTACATATTTATTTTCAACCATATAGTTACATGTAAATTCATAACTTTTCCATACTATATAAACGCACATTCTATTTATTTATATTTTTTTGAAAGGTGCAACCATATATTCTCCAAAAAATTACTATTCAAAAAATTGTTTTTCCCAAACAATGGCCATCAGATGGGCTTAAGCCCAGTCTGGCACCAATTCCTCCCGGACTTTAATTAATTTTTTTAACGTTGGAACAGTGCAAATGAGTCCTAGTGCGAGAAGGAAGTCGACAAAGATGGAAACTTTACCCATAAATTGATTGTAGTGTACATTGTCCCGACTGATGAATTGTCTTTACTATCCTTTATTGGTTGAACTACCTCAACAAAGTCGGCAAAGCATTTAATGCTTACAAGGGTAATTTGGAAATTTGCCGACATCACACATCTGCGGCGAAAAATTACAACTTTATTACCAAGAGCCTGGGACCACTTGATATGATGTTATAATCGATTTTTTATTTTGCAAAAAAGTGCGCCCAGACAGGAGCTTAGTTTTTATCATGTCCACTTCTTATTGAATACAGAATTAGACAACAATTTCAGCCAATGGCTCCCGCCGTATGAAAGCAATACTTTAACCACTGAGTTAAGTAGGTCATTTATTATCTCCAAAGATAACCAAATAGAACCCATGCCACAATGGGTTATAAATATCAGAAATAAAGCAATTATACCTTTTCATTAAACTTTTCAAATTAATAAATCAATTTGGAAAACATTCTTTCCAAAACCTAAAATCTTAAACAAACTGTTAAATGGTTAATTACCTCGGGGCATGTCAGTGTAATTATCTCACTTTCAATAATAAAAAGTGGTGGAAAAAACTGTAACAAGTTGAGTTAAAACTAAAATGATATTACTCTATTTGTCACAAAGTTGGCAACACTGAGAAAGGAGAATATATTAGGACCAACTAATTTGTTTTGTGTTTTCAATCATGAGCCAAATGCCCCTATAAAATAAATCTCAATTAGATCTCATCATTCCAAGTTCAAACTTAATCAATTTGTCTGTTTATGGACCAATACCCCACCTTTTCCCTCCTTCCATTTGATGAATTCACAAAATAACAAATTAGTACATTCTAAAATTAACAACTCAACAATGACAATACTTACTCGTTTCCTAAGGACAGGCTGCCCATGACGAATGTATTTATGAAAGTTATGCTGGACGGCTGCACGCGCAAGTTTTTCTGTGTCAACATTTGCTGCACGAAGAGGTGTCAACAGCCCTGGAGGAAGATTTGGATACATGGAAAACTGCTCTTTTGTGATTAAAAGATTAAGTACAGAGTCACCCACATACTCAAGCCGTTCATATGACATGCAGCCCTGGTGGTACGAAATATGTGTAAAGGCTTGAAGCAATAAGCAACGATTATTGAAATTGTACCCGATGATCTTCTCGATTTCTTCAGGATTTCTTAATAATTTAGTTCTAAATTCCTCCATCAATGAGTCTTTTGTTTCTTTTTCATCAGCTTTAATACCCTTCACATAATTGCTCAAAATATATCCTGGCAGAGAGTAAACATGTAGAAAAGTACAAAGTTCGAAACTTCAATATAAATTATGCTCGTCTTCGAAAAGGACAAAGAATGAACACTTGAAACAATAAAGAGTTCGAAACAATATTAATGTTTTTGCCGAATTTTAGCAAACAAGTACATTAATCACCAATTTTCACAATATTGGTCCATTATACATCTGTGCACCATTAACTTTGAGAAAGCAAGTAACAAGCAAGTTCCACTTTGATTTATCATTATTAGGTTTATAGAAGCAGAAAGAGAATGACAGATTTACCAAATAGAAGTTGCAGGCTTTGGATGTTCTATCTTATCCTCCTTAAACTAAAAGAGAAAAACAAAAAGAAAAGGCCTTCAAACATCAACTAAAGAAATGAGGAAACAATCATTAATGTATTTCAAGCATTGATGAACAATAACTTTGGCGGTTTTACAACTCCCACATGAAATTTACACTGAAATCTTGTTGGTACCAAACCGTAAAAGTTGCAGAAAACTTGAAAATGTAACACGGCATAATCTGGATTGTCATCAACATTAGACATATCTTGCATTCAATACTAAAATCACAGCAGGTGAAATATGTCTTTAAGGCTTAATCATTTATTTTCTTCTATTTTAAAAAAATACCCAAAAAAAATTTCACGATTGATCTATACAAACGAATTGGGAAACGATGCTGGTGAAATTTGCTAAAATCTTCAATTTTATGTGCATTGTATGCTAATTCCTAGAAAAAAATGATCATTCATATATTGAACATCTGATAATCATCGTTAGAGTCCAACCAACTAAAGACCAAAAAGTCATACGGCTCTTATAAAATGCCAAATGAACTGAACTGAACTAAGCTGAACTCCTATCCATCAACTCCAACAATGATTCCTATGATCTAGCCCACCTGAGGTGAGATTTTTATTTTCCAATTAAACCAAAAGCAGTATGCTGCTTCTGTCTTCAATTTTTTTTGCTCTCATTCATCTAGCATTCATGAGATCGTCACAATAAGCAAACTTATCTATAGTTGAAAAAGTGAGAATTGGTTTCAAAACTCATGGCAGCTGAGCAAAACAAGATATTCGTTTGCTAACAAGTGGCGCGAGTAAGTGGAAGAAAAAGCATTGGTTGCACTAAGTTTTGAGGAACTAGTTGATGTAGAATAACTGTTAAACTAAACTATATTCTACTCCTGCAATCAATCTTATGAAAAAAATATATATATTATTGCTATATTCATTTTATACAAAGATCCCAAAAACTTAGGTATAGCTTAATAACATAGAACTTGCAAAGCGATAATTTACTTGGATTAGAAACTATTATATCAACTAGGATAACAGAATAATAAAATTTAAATGACTAACAATCAACTATAAACACAAAAAGCCCAATATGTTACACCGATCAAAAAAAAAAAAAGGCCAATACTTTATAACCACCAAGCTATCCAATATCCACCAAATTCCGTCATCTCTTTTAACTTTCTTCCTGAATAAATCCTTATTTAACAAGGTTTTTTTTTTTTTTTGGAAGTGTTCATTGATTAACTTTCTTATCAACATTACTGACCAAACAGTACAACCATAACTCTTGAGTAAAGACGGAACTATGTCATTGTACATCGTTCAAATATAGTTGTACCTCAGTCGCCAATATAGAGCAATGCTCTTTAGAATTGATCCAAATTTAACAACGAAAAACCCAAATCCCAATTTAAATATAAAGAAAACCAGAAGCACAAACATATCAAAATGTAGGGAAAATTTACCGAATGTTTGAAGTCGTTGAGAAGAATTAACCCAATACTTAACTGGAGAGAACAAAGATTCTAACCACGATGCCATTTGAATCCTCACCTAATTTCTAGTCCCAGTTTAAATGCAAATAATAGACGGAAGCCGCAAGGTGATGACAGATGAGCAATCGGCGGGGGTAAAATTGGTTAATTTGGTTGAAAGGACTGATGAGCCTTTAGGTGGGAAATACATATAAATAACCTAAATAAAAGGAAGATTTTTGAAATTGATCTAAGAAATGAAAACATTTGAAAAATAGTCTTCAATTAATCATCTTTCCAAAAATACCTCTTATAGAAAAATTGTAACCAAAGTCACTATAATGTATAAAAATCTTCAAATAGGTCCTCAAGAAAATATAGATCATAAATCTTTAATAAATTTAAATCCAAATATAATACAAAATTTTATTGATCTAAAAAATGCAACAGAAAGTGAATTAAACTATTTAAAAGAAGATTTGAAAGGATTCTTTACAGAATATTTAGATCCAAAATTAAAAAATAAAAACGTTACTATAAATAATAGTACAATAAAAACAGAAAATAATATCTATAAAATAATTCTTAATCTGAGAAGAAGAATTAAAGAACTAAATACAATTATTAAAGAAAAGGTATTAATAGAAAATGGTGAATTTTGTAAATTCTATTGTGATATTTTAAATACCTATGAAGAATTTAATTGGCTCAAAAATATTAACCCCTCCGCTGCACACTCCGAAAAAATGGTATCAGAGCCTGCATGATTATGTATCCGGGTGGAACTCTATAGGGAAAAGCAGTAATTACTGACTCTCCGCCCCCGATTTGAGATATGCCTGAGCAGAACTCATGGCAACTCAAGGACTCAGATAGGTATCACTATACTACTGTCAAGACAGGGCCGCTTCCGTAAACCCGGACGGTAGTGGATGCGATCTGCGCACTCTGGTATAAATGGTATCAGAGCCATGTTACGAACCAAAAATTATAATGAATATAGTAGATGAAGAAAATATAATTGAAGAATTTTTTAAAAAAGTTGAAAAACATAAAAAACCTAGTTATCCTTATTTACCTAAAAATACCACAAATGAAAATTTTGGGGATATACATAAAAGATTAGAGAATTTAGAACATAATCTACAAATAGGAAATGCCCTATTAGATAAAAACCTTAGAGGAAAAGATAGGATTATAATTAATCCACCCCAAAATTTTAGAATAACACAAAAAGAAAATAATAAAGGGAAAAAACATGAAGAAAAACAATACATGATTACAGATGTAGAAGAAATAGAACAAAAATTCTTAGAATCTACAGGAGAAGAGTATGAAGAATATAAAAAACAGTTAGAAGAATTAACTGAGAAAATGGAAAATATAAAGATGAATACTAATCCATCCTCAAGTCATGATATAAAGGTAAAATTTAGTAGTGATGAAGAACAAGATTATCCTTATGGTACCCCAATACCTGATAAGGCTGATATTAATCAATATAGAAAAACACAGAAAAGATACACTGAAAATGTAAGAAAACAATCCATAAAAGAAATAAATCCAATGAAATCTTATAATGAATCAATCCACACAACAGGAGTATGGTTAGATCTAGACTGTGTAGATAAAAATAAAGCTATTGAAACATGGATAAAAAGTACAGATTTAGCTATACAATTTAACAAATGGGAAACATATACAGCTTTTGGATTTATAGAACATACATTCAGAGGAATTGTTTCTGAATGGTGGAGAAAACTACCAGAAACTATCAAAGGAAGTATAAAATATGGAACAAATAGAACTGAAGTATTAGATAATAGAAATACTCTAAATGAACAAAATATACATGAAATATTAAAAAGATTTGAAAAAATCTTAAGAACAGAATTCTTAGGAGATAGGTATACTTCTAATGAAAAAGAAAGAAAAAAGATGAATATAACCAAGGAATGATTTTAATGGAAAATTTAAAGATATGTGATATGTGTGAGTTAGAAAGATATACATGTAAATTTGAAGAATTATACTATATACTTAATCAAGGAGATTATCAGGAAAATAAACCTATTTTAAGATCTTATTTTACCAAGTTACCATTTCCATGGGGAATCAAGTTACTAAAAGAATATGAGAAATTACTACCTCTAGGAAAAGAGGAAGGAGTTGAAATAGATAGTTTTGGAAGTAGAATTGAATTTACAAGAAGAATGATAGGAATGTGGTGCAGAGAAGCACTAGAAAATAAGAAAGCTTATAAAATAAGAAAGAATTCATTATGTTGTTATAAAGATAATGGCCAAGTTGAACAATTTGGATGCCATAAGAAGAAATATAAACCATATAAGAAATATAAAAGGAAATTCAAAAAATATAAAAAATTCAATAAAAGGAATTTTAAACCACATAAAAAATATTTTAAGAAAAGAAATTGGAATAAGAAATTTAAACCAAAAAACATTAAAAAATGTGGATATTTTATTTGTAATGAAGAAGGACACATTGCTCCTCAATGTCCTAAAAAGAAAGATAAACAAAACATAAAAACTCTTAGAATTTATGAAAAATTCCAAGAAAATAGTGATATAGAACCAATCGAATATTTTAAAAATTTAAGCAGTGAATGTAGGAGTATTTATGAATTAGATACATCTTCATCAGAAGAAGATTATGAGAAGATAGTATATATGAATCAGGAGATACAACAATCAGAAATAGAAATAGAAATAACTGAAGAAGTTGAAGATTCTATAGAAGGTATTAATCAGGAGATAACTTTTGATATTAAAAAATATGCAGGAATCGCTAAAAAAATATTAGATCTACAAGAAAAAGATGTATTCCATCAAGGATTCTTAGGAATTTTACCAAGGGTAAATAAAACAATTGTAAGTATGAATTATAAAGAAATGTCTATCAACATAGAAGATACTATAGGAAAGGCAAGAATTCCTATAATCACAAAAGAATGGGTAAAACAAAAATTATCCAAAATCCCAGAAAATGTAAGAAACAAATTAAAATGTATTGAATTAGGAGGAGTCCAGATAATGGTAAAAGGATTCTTTAGAGAAGGAATGAATATACCAATAGAAATATACTGTATGGATAATAGAATCTTACAAGATCCTATAGATGCCCTATTAGGTACAGTTGTAGGAAACTTAGTCTATCAAAAGATAATATTTACAATAAAACCAAATTATGCAATATCATTAGGTGATGAAAATATTGACCAAAGTTTCAATCTATATTATAGAATTGGAAACTTAAAAATGTTAAGGAGAAGTAAGGCTATTAGTATAAGCATAAAATCAATTTTTGCTTTTAGTACTAGCCATCATAACAACCTAAGGAAAATAACTCATAACATTATTATACATAAAGATTTTGAGGAATTAGCACAATATATACCTCCTAGGAAATACCAAGAACATGAAGTTACGATACCAGAACAAATAATGCTTGATTTCCATAAACAAGCAAAAGAAATTAATTATGAAGGAAAATTAATAAGAAGAAATAGTGTCAGCTTAGAAGGAGACAATCTTATTGCAAGATTTCCCTCTAGACAAGACTCTAGGATAAGTAGACTTAAGAATTTAAGTATTGCTGAACCATCAAGTTCACAATATTATATTAAGACAAGATATATAAACCAAGAAGGATTTAAGAAAAATCTTCTTGTCCTTATAGATACTGGAGCAGATAAAAGTCATGTAAATGCCAAGTTTGTTAATCATTTAATAGACTTTGAAATACCAGAGCCATATATATTTAAGGATTATTTAGGAAATAATCTTGAAATAAGAAAATATGTTAAATTTCCCCTTATACTTGTAGGAGAGGATCAGAAAGAATATACTAAAGAAATAATTCTATATAAAGATGAATTATATGGAGTGGATCGTTCACCTATTCTACTAGGAATGAACTTTCTTGAGAAATATAGTCCTTATAAAATCTGCCAAGAATATTTGAAAATAACAGTTGACGATAATCCAATTATCATTCCAAGAATAGATGAAATTATGAAATCATTGTTATCATGGAAAGAGTAATAAGTACTAATCCCATGAGCCCATATATTGAAATTACACTCAATATAAAAAATTATTGTAGAATTAAATTTCATGCTTACTTAGATACAGGAAGTACAATAAGCTTATGCTTACCAAATGTACTGCCATCTGAATACTGGAAATATAATTCAAAGAA